GAGTGAGTTCCAGGACAGCCAGGGCTACACAGAGAAACCCTGTCTTGAAAAATCAACAACAACAAAAAACAAGAAACAACTTGTTGGGACAGTACGGTAGCTCAACAGATAAAGGCATATAGTGATAACCTGATTTGGACCTCTGGAATGAGAGAACAGACTCCCAGAAGTTGTCCTCTGACCTCTATATGTGCATTGTGGTATACACACACACACACACACACACACACACACACAAATTTTAGCAACTTAAGGAAAAAGAGGTTTATTTTGGCTCACAATTTGAAAGTACAGTCCATCAGAGAGAGGAAGTCATGGGAGCAGGAAGCACAGGCTGGTCACATTGTGTCCACAGTCAGGAAGCACAAGGCTGGTCACATTGTGTCCACAGTCAGGAAGCACAGGCTGGTCACATTGTATCTGCAGTCAGGAAGCACAGGCTGGTCACATTGTGTCCACAGTCAGGAAGCACAGGCTGGTCACATTGTATCTGCAGTCAGGAAGCACAGGCTGGTCACATTGTGTCCACAGTCAGGAAGCACAGGCTGGTCACATTGTATCTGCAGTCAGGAAGCACAGGCTGGTCACATTGTGTCCACAGTCAGGTTGGTGGTCATCATGTTTTCTCTCTCTCTCTCTTTTTTTTTTTTGGTTTTTCGAGACAGGGTTTCTCTGTGTAGCTTTGCACTTTTCCTGGAACTCACTTTGGAGACCAGGCTGGCCTTGAACTCAGCAGTGAAGAAGGCATGTGGCCTCACCTCCCAGATCCAAACATCAGTGAAGAAGGCATGTGGCCTCACCTCCCAGATCCAAACATCAATGGAGAAGGCATGTGGCCTCACCTCCCAGATCCAAACATCAGTGAAGAAGGCATGTGGCCTCACCTCCCAGATCCAAACATCAGTGAAGAAGGCATGTGGCCTCACCTCCCAGTTCCAAACATCAATGAAGAAAGCTGGCCTGGAACTTGCTATGGAGACTTGGCAGACCTTAAATTCATAGAGTTCTGCCTTCCTCTGCCTCCTAAGTGCTGTGACTTAGACATGCGTCTCTATGCCTGGTTTGTTTGGGTGTTTTTGTTGTTGTTGTTCATTGTGGTGATGGGGTTTCAGTTTTGATTTGAGATTTGAGATGGTCTCGCTATAGAACCCAAGCTGGCCTGCATCTACGGCCCGAGCAAGTTATGGCAATTTGAATGAGAAATGTTCCTAGTAGGCTCAGGTATTTGAACACTTGATCCCCAGTTGGTAGTGCTGTTTGGGGAGATGGTGTGGCCTTGCTGGGGGAAGTACATCACTGGGGGTGGGCTTCGAGAGTGCATGACCTCACTTCTAGTGTGCTCCCAGTGCTTCCTGTTTATGACTGAAGATGTGATCTTCCAGCTTCCTATCCCTGCCACTGTGCCTACCGAGTACTGTCATGCCCCCCTGCCAGGATGGACTCTTATCCCGTTGGGACTGTGAGCCAAAATGAACTCTCCATAAGTCACACTGGGGACATGGTGCTTCATTGCAGCAACAGAAAAATAACACGTAGGCCTTAAGCTCTTAGGGATCCTCCTGCCTCAGTCTCCTGAGAACTGATAGAGTGTGTGCCACTGCAATGTTTCAGAGCTTAACTTTTTTTTTTTTTTTTTTTTGGCTTGTTTGTTTTTGAGATAGGGTCTCTCCACATAGTCCTGGCTGTCCTGGAACTCACGCTGTAGACCAGGCTGGCCTCAAACTCAGAGATCCACTTGCCTCTGCCTGCTGAGTGCTGTTACCTTAGGGGTAATGGACACTGCTTAAAACATAATTTTTCTCACCTCTGAGTTGTACCCTTGGGGAGGATTAGTAGGAAGTCAAGGCTAAAAGCAATAGAAAGACCGGAGGGGGTTGAAATACAAAATGAAATTCATATTCCTTCTGGCTCTGAGGGTCTCAGAGCCAGAAGACACTTTCCAAGCTATTATCCAGCCCCTACTTGCATTCTGTAGTGGCAGAGAACTGCGTTTTATTGAGAAAGCCTACCAGCTATATCACCCCTCACGTCTCCATTGATTATTTCAAGGTCTTTTCTGGGCTGGGGGGGGCGGGGGCGGCTCCAGTGCTAGAGTGCTGGTTTAGTGCACCCAAGCCGTGGGTTGGATCCCTAACATTGCATAAACCTGTGTGTGATGGCACACTCCTGTAATCCGAGCGCTTGGGAGGCAGATGAAGCACCAGGAGGTGAAGGCCAGCATTGTCTACAGGGCAACCAGCCTGGGCTACGTGAGACCCTGTTTTCAAAAAATAGTCTCTCCTTTGTCTCTGCCTGTACAAACTAGAGCACCTCTTAAGTCCTTTTGCAGAGTTAGAGGCAGCCCTGTCTTCCCTGCCTCTTTAGTCTGAGTCATGACAATGGATTTTGGGGGGTGGGGACAGGGGGTAGCAAAGTCCTTGTCCATCACCCAGCCTGGCCTCCAATTCCTGGACTAATGCTGGCCTCCTGGCAGCTGGGACAGTAGGTGTGCACCACCGTACCTGACTTCACAGTGGATTTTCTGACAGTCACGCTGTTGAACTCACAGGTACTGCAGAGCTCTTGGGTGGGTGCAATGGTGGGTCCCCACAGCTCACACTGCCGATTTTTCTTTTCTGTCACAAGCATCTCCAATGTTTGCACAGCGCATGCCTGAAGTAGCAAGATCTCCGGAATAGGTTTTCCACGGTGATTCAGTTGGACTGGTTTTGCCTTCCCTCTGGGCTCCGTAGGTAGCACTTTATTCCACTCGACTGGAACCCAGGGGGCTGGAGAGAGGAAGCGTCACTCACAGCATCCTTGTCAGATGGTTACCTCCCATGCAGAGACTGGGGAAGGGGACATCATGAGCCTTCTCCACCCACCACCTCTCACTTGCCTTCCAATGAATGCACATGTGACATCTTCTCCCAGCCTGAGAAAGGAAGCAGGGACATCAGGAGTGACTGCTGTGTGCCGGACCCTTGGGAGTTGAGTGCCCCATCAGCTCCATTCTAAGGAGGAGGAAGGCTAGCTTCACAGACATTAGCCCCTCAGGCTTCAAGGGGTAGAGCTGACCCCAGCCCCCTCCCCTTCTCCTGCTCACTCCATTCCCCAGGATGCACTGCACTGCCATCCTGCCAAGCCTCCTGGCCACACAAAGAGGGAGTGGCTAGGATCCTACTGTCCCAAAGGCAAAACTTGAGAGTGCCAGAGGTAACTTTTCTCACACTCAGAGCTGGGTATAGTAAAGGCAGAAAGAAGCACAGGCTGGCCCCCCTTCAGAAAACTCTTCCCTCAAGGACCAGTTGGTAGGTGAGGAGTGTTTTATTCTCCTAGCTGATTGGGAGCCAATTAAGATCCATAGTGAGGGCCAGGCATGGTGGTGCACCCCCTTTAATACTAGCACTCAGGAGGCACTGGCAGGTGGATCTCTGTGAGTTCAAGGTCATTCTGGTCTACATAGTGAGTACAGGACAGCCAAGACTATGTAGACAGACCCTGTCTCAAAAAAAAAAATCAGCAGTGTGTCTGACTTGTCAACCTCGTACCCTAGGGATGCCCTGGTTGGACCCACACAGGATGTCATGAGTCTGTTAATAGCAGGAACGTGAACAGTAGGAGCAGATCACAGAGTGTGGCCCCCAGGAAAGGGAAAGACCCTTTCCAGGGACAGAGCGATGGCCCTCGGCAGAAAGGGCATGGCTGACCACTGGGAGGAGCTCTCTGCTGGCCTCCAAGCTGAGCATCGGGCTGGCCACGGCCTCTTTTTTTTTTTTTTTTTTTTTTTTTGGTTTTTTTTCGAGACAAGGTTTCTCTGTGTAGCTTTGCGCCTTTCCTGGAACTCGCTTTGGAGACCAGGCTGGCCTCGAACTCACAGAGATCCGCCTGGCTCTGCCTCCCGAGTGCTGGGATTAAAGGCGTGCGCCACCACCGCCCGGCTGGCCACGGCCTCTTATGCAGCCCTTCCATCTGCATTTCTGACCAACACTGTAGGAAGCCTGGGGACTCAGGGCTTGTCTAGAAGTCATCCACTCCTAGAAGGGCCTGTGGTGAACCAGGCAGGCAAATGGGTAAAACAGTGTGTGGTGAGTCATAGGAAGATGCAAGCCGGCCATGTGGTAGGGAATCCTGAGGCACGACGTCTCAGAGATGGTGTCTGAGAGTAGAGAAGAAGCGGGGAGAAGAGCTAAGGCCTTGGGCTGTGTGTGGTGGCACAAACCTGTAAACCCAACATGGAGACCTGAGAGTCCTAGACCACCTAGGCCATAGAGTGAGGCACTGGAAAAGAAAAAGCTGCCCTTGTTCCTTAGGGTGAGAGTCCCCAGCAGGGCATGCCTGACGTGAAGCGCCTGCCTATCTGGGCAGCCTCACTGTGTGGGTCCCGGACCTCCTCTGCACAGGGAGAGGAGTGGCCGCTCAAGGTCCTGGATTTCTGGAGAAGAGATTGGCCTTCCCTGGGGCCTGCCATGTGTCACCATTCCCATCACCCGCTGAGTCCCAGAAACCTCAACTGGTGTCTTTCTCTTGGGGGATTCTCAAAACATCCCAGGGCCCGCTGTCCAGTCCTGGGACCCGGGGCAGCAAGAAAGGAAGGAAATTCTCACACACAGCTCTCTCCCAGGAGTTTGCTGAGTTCCCAGGCTGACAACTGGCAACCCTCAGAAGTCCGTCCCCCGCTCCCTTCCTCCTCTCCTCCCTGCCTCCTCCTCCCCCGGCTGCCCTTCTCCAGTTTAATAACTTCCACATGGGCTCTGGCGGCTGGAGCCAAGCCCTCAGCATTGTCTGAAACCTCCAAATTTAGAAGAAATATGAAAATTGTCAACCACTCCTTCCTTAGGGGGTAAAAGAAACATTCGGCACCAGGGGCAGGTCAAGGCGAGGCAGTCACGTGGCTGGCGCCCTGGCCAATGGGGGGCCCAGGGAGGCCTCAGCACCCGCCTTGCCCCAACACCAGGCTCGCTTCTTCAGCTCATATAAGGTAAAAGGCAGCGAGGCCTCCGTGGCCAGAGAGCCACGGGCAAGGGGCTGAGCAGAGGGGGGTCCGATGCCAGTTGCTTAAAAATGCCCCTGTAGCATCAAGAGGTGCCAGAGCCGAGTCAACTTAGTTGAGAAGCAGGGACACCCATAACCATACCCCAAATAGGCTGAGCCTCCACCTCCGAAGAGTCATCCCTGGACCAGAAAACAGCCAAGGTAAGGACCAGCCACAGACATGGGTCCCTGAGCGAGCCTCGGGGGTTTCCTCCCAGGGGCTCTCATCCCTGCTGTCTGCTAACTGCTCTGTGCCTTCTGCCTTTCTGGATCTCAGTTTCCCTATTTGTACCAGGGCTGGATCCGGTGATCACTAAGCGTTGGCCCAGCCCTGACCAGCTCCAGTCCTATGGGCCTGTTAGCTGCTTCTGTTGAATGAGGAATGAGGGGCTGGGCTGATGTCCTTGGCAGGCCACACTCCCACGGTGCCACATCTGGGCATCTACCTTGACGGCACTCTGCTTTGCTGTACCAGATGTTCACACCACAGCTCCAAGAACCTGGGGCTCCTGTTAAGGAAAACTGTTTCCAAACAACGGTTCCAAAAGCCAAAGCTGGGGAAGCCGTGTGTGCTCAGGCCCCCAGGGAGTAGGAGGCAAAGGGCAGGAAGGATGGGGTGCTGGCTGTGTGTGGACAAAGGGGAAGACTAGGAAGGGAGAGTGGAGAGGTAGGGCCTGAGCTCCATCCTAGATCTGCACTCGGTGCTGGACTGTACGGCTCTGGGCAGGTACCCATCCCTCTCTGGGCCAGATTGCCCCCACCGGGATGTGTAAGGAAGCTAGTGGACCAAATGATCTGGAGATGCAGGGTGTGGCTTCTGAGCTCAGGAGATTCCTGGGCTGCACCCACTTTTTGGCCACAGACTCTTTGAGTCCAAGCAGTTGGTCAAAGCCCTGGGAGCTGTTGGAGGCTGAGCTTAAGGTGATGGAGAGCATCCCCAGGGTGTCTAGCTGAATCCCTAGATCTGGTTTCCCCAGGGTGCTAGGCTGTCTCTGGTGGGCACAGGGATGATGTCTGATGCAATAAGCTACAAGTGCAGGACCTCAGGGCAGGAATGGGGTGAAGAAATCACAGAAGGGTTTCCAGGGCCTTGGAAGGAAGGCCTGTGATGGGCCCCGTGGGGGCCAGGCAGAGCTCAGATCGGAACACGCTGGCAGCATCCAACTCCTTGGACCTACACATTGGCCACATCTGGGCCCAGAACGGAACACAGTCCTCTAGCTTCAGACTGGGCAACATCTATTCCTTCTTGCACCTGGTCACCCAAGGCCGTATGGTTCGGAAGGAAGCACTGAACTCCAGCTGATAGGGCCCAACTCTGGCTTGTTTACATGTCAAAGTGCTTGGCCCAGTCATCTGACCTGTCAGCATAGGCTTCTCCCTCCATGGAATAGGTACAGCCTAAGTTCTGACTCCACATGGCCATCGCAAGGACTAAGAGACATATGCCTCAGTTTTGTTTAGGGAGAGGAAATGAGACCCAGAGAGGAAATGCCCAGAGTGCCCTAGAGAGAGAAAGCTCTGGAAAGAGAGAGGTAGAATGAATCCCAGTCAGAGGCAAGGGGCAAAGAGAAACCAGCTTGAGATCACCCTCTGTTTGGAGTTAGGCATCAGCATTGAGAGCCCCCAGAGCTGTATGTAGAGCAATCTGAGACCTTCAGGACACAGTTGGGCAATGGCAAGCCCGGAGTCAAATCATAGCTCTAGGTGCATCAGCGGACAAAAGAGCCGGGGCAGAATGTGTGTCTGCCCAGCCAGGGGATCCTTCAGGTATCGTGAGTAAAAAAATATATTGCCTTCGTTTGTTGAACATTTAGGAGATCCAGGAATCTGAGAGTTTTATATGAATTAATTCAGTGAAGCATTGCAGGACGTGGGGAGCTAGGTGCAATTATTCCTATTTCACAGAGAGGTCAGACACTGTATATGTGAGTTGGCTGCCCCAGGCTGCTGTCTCCACCAACAGCCCCCAACTCCCTGCTCTGCTTATGGCCACCATAGACTTCCTAGCAAGTGTCCAATAAATCTCATGGACAGAATACGTATGGGGGCATTCCCAGGAGCCAGACATCAGCTAAATGGTTGCATTATTGTAGTTCTCCCAAGGTTCTTCTTAGGAGAGATCAAATGATTCCAATGTCCCTGGTTATAGCGTAAACCACAGCCCACCCAAGCTCTCGCCACTAGAAATTAGGTAGGAGGCATGAGTCCGGCCTCCGCCCACATGCTCTTCACCTGGTCCCCCTGAGTGCTATGATGAGGAAGCCAGGCGTGGAGGAGACTCCCGTCTCAGAATTTGTACTGGGGCTTGATGAAAGCCTCCAAGAGGCTACTGCTGTTACTCAACCATGCAATGGTCCCAGAACAGAGAAGACAGTCACTGCTTCCCTAGCTCTGTGGCCAACCTCAGTGCTTTCTCCTGCTGGCTAGTGCTAGAGAACAGCTAATACATACAGCTCTCTTGAAGAGAAAGTTCTGGACCCTGAGCTGCCACAGACCCGAGCAGCTTTAAGTGACTCCCCAGGTGAGACTTCTCTGAGGAGTAGGTCTCCAAGGTCCTTGACGGTGGCCTTGCCACATCATTCAGTTTTCCATCAGAACTGCTCCTGGGACTCAGGTCCTGGGGTGGCTTAAAGAACCACGAGAAAGCTGGGCATGGTGGTGCATGCCTTTAATCCTAGTACTCAGAAGTGAGAGGCAAGAGGATCTCAGGGAGTTCAAGGCCAACCTGGTCTACATATGAGTGACAGGTCAGCCAGAGCTGCATCCTGGAAGAAGAAGGAGAAGAGGAGGAGGGGCATGAGAAATGCTCTCTGGTTTTTGTTCGGTTTTAAACATACCCTCCTGAGCACAGGGGCCAGAATTTCTCCAGTTTACACCTGGAGTGGGGCTGCTGGGCCCTGGGTGTGGCCTGAAGACAGCATGAGAAGTCATTGTCTGTCTGTCTGTCTTTCTATCTTCTCTCTCTTTCTCTCTCTCTCTCTCTCTTTCTTTCTTTCTTTCTTCTTTCTCTCATCATGCTATTTCTACACGTCTTACTGAGCAGATCCCTCCCCTTGACCACACTAGAAATGACAAGAGTTCTTGACATATATTACATACTATATTTTGTATACATCAAATATTGTAAAGAAGAGGGTTGAGGATGCAGCTCAGTAGAAGAGCATTTGCCTGGCATGTGTGAGGCCCTTGGTTCATTCCTCGTACCACAAAGGAAGGAAGGGAAGGAGGAGGGGTGTGGAGGAAGGAAAGAAAGGAGGCAGGCAGGCACACTCGTGTGTATTCTGCAGGCTTCTGGTCCTCATCCACGTGGATACCTAGGAATTTGTACTATTAGAGCAGCCATATCACACAGACTCTCAGGAAGACCCTGGTAGGGGTGAGGGGGGCTGAGCGGCAGTCATCCTGGTGTACCCTGGGTCCAATGCCTGGGGGTGAGCTGCAAGGCTTGGGTGGATAGAGTCAGGGAGCAGCCGCTGCTCACAGCCTGTTTAGACAAACCCCACAGGGATCTGGCCGCAGCACACATTGTAAGAGCTCTGGGGTCAGCCATTTTCCTGCTTGCAAAACAATCTGTTGGTGGCAGCCGCACAAACACCACAAACCTTTCCTCCGATTTGAAATGTGCCTGACGCACAGCGGGCCTTGCCCACTCTCCTGGCCCACACGGCCCAGCTCCTTCAAGCCACTTTTGGGTCTGTTTGAGGATACAGAGTTCTGCAGGGGTGGAGGTGAGGGTGGAGGTCCCCCGTGTCCAAGATGAAGAAACGAGGCAGAGATGATCAAAATGCTATAAGAACGATGTGAAGTCACGGGAAGCTGGGATCACAGGGCCAGGTCCTGCCCAGGCTGCTTGGCTTTGAATCTTGCATTTGCCTGGAAGCAGCTGTGGTTCCATGAGCCTCCGTCACTCCATCTGTAACGTAGGGAGATTAAGCTACTGAATATCAAGGATAGTTTGTTGAGCTGTTTGGATTAGAGGAGCTGAAGCCCAAGGAGCAATGACTGGCCCACGGGGACTACGCAAGGAAAAGCAGCTGTGACAACCCCTGGACAGCTTCTCGGGGAGGGGATGCCCTGCTGAGTCCTAGCTGCTTGGATGCTGAGGAATAATATGCTCTCGTCCTTCAAAAATAAAAATTCTCAGGGCTGGAGAGATGGCTTAGTGGTTAAAAGCACTGGCTGTTCTTCCAGAGGATCGGGGTTCGATTCCCAGCACCCACATGGCAGCTCACACCTGTCTGTAACTCCAGTTCCAAGACTTCTGACACCTTCACACAGATATACATGTAAGCAAAACACAAATGAACATGAAATAAAGATAATAATAATAATAAACTGTGAGAGAGAGAGAGAGAGAGAGAGAGAGAGAGAGAGAGAGAGAGAGAGAGAGAAAGAAAACAGTAATTCTCAAGCCAAGCATGTTAGCACATGCCTATAATACCAGCACTCAGGAGAATCGAGAATTCATGGCCATACTCAGCTACATAGTGAGTTCAAGGCCAGCCTGGGCTACATGAGATCCTGTCTCAAAAAAACAGTTATCACATTGTAGGCCTATGGTGGAGTGCTAGCTTGGCATGCTCAAGGTCCTGTGTTCCAATCCCAGCACTTCAGTCTCCCACACAACCAAACTGCTATGTATCAAGGCCTTCTTGCCCGTACCCTGAGGTAAGTACCTTTATCTCTTGGGTCAGACAGAGGCTCAGAGAGGTCTGGTTATTGGGTCAAAGTCACACAGGTTAGTGGGCAAAATTGAGACTCAACCCCAAATCTGGATGACTCCATATGCTTAACTGCTATCTCCTAGAACCAGCCAAGAGGGCTATGAATCGGAAAGAACCAGTTCCAGCCTTATGGGACCCTTGACCTTTAGGGGAGGAAGCTCTATGCCTTCCAAATTAAGAATAACTATAACTAGGAAATTTAGACAGAGTTCCCACTGTCAACCACAGCCCAGCTGAGGACAGAAAAGGCAGACTCTGGCCAGACTATTCCAGTGAGCACCTGTCAGGTGGTTTGTGTCTGCTTGGAGTCCTCTTCAGCCCTGGACTGCCCCTTTCCCCACAGGGCCCTTCCTTGCAGAAGGAACAGTGAGCTAGGCCAACACTAGGAAAGGTGATGCCCCCCCCTGCCCCGCACCTCCCCAAGAGCCATGTCAA